TGGGCAAACAGCTCACACACTGCTGGCAGCCAGCAGCCAGATAGACCTTCTGTTTTCATTGAACCCAGATAATTAATTTACAGCATTGATCGTTTTTTACAATATATCTGTGCCTCATTTAACATTTGGCATTACAGCTGAGAACAAATAAACCCAAAACTATACAAGCTGATCATATTGGTAGCATAACATGAAAGTCCTTCTAGAAATAACTGAGTTGCCTTTATGGTGCACAAAGGACATTTTGTCTGCTATAACGAAAGCCTTTTACATCCCCAAATAAAAGATTTGTACCACTACAACATAGCCAGGACTCCCAAATATGTGTTCTTTATCAGGAAATTAGGTTACAAGGGAAGAATTTTTTATTTCTTTTTTTTCAATGATGAGCATTTCTGTAGGGTCAGTAAAAAAAGAAAATCCACAACATATCTGGAAGTGCTGTTGCCTTTCAAACAGAAAGGAAAACTGCACAGAAAGCAGCACTGATAGAAACCCTTAGGGTGTGAAGCCTTGCAGAACTTCCCCAGTCTTGTTCTCCCTCATGGCCTGTGGGGGGCTCTTGCATTTATTTATTACCCAGAGGCCAAAATAGATAGATTCAGCAAATAAATCCCAAGCCTTACAGCTGTGAAGGTAGAAGTGGGAGGAGGGAACACACTCTGAGCCTGTGATGTGACACACTGCTCTGAGAGTGCTTCAGAAGCCGTGGGATAACTCATGGGAACGGGAAAAGAGCACGCTCTAGTGGGGAAATTATTAAAGTCTATTAGAAAAATCTATTAGAAAACAAATCATTGTACTGAATACTGCATGTGAGAGCAGCTGCTGCTTCCTATCTCTGTCCAGTGTTTCTTGTCCCATCACTGTGCATCTCCTGTCACTTGGTGCCCCTGGTACCCCTTAGCCCAGGCAGGGGCACAGTCCCTCCAAGGCTGTCCCAGCTGCTGACACGCAGCCTGGGCTGACTGAAGGAGCCAGACCTGGGGTTTCTCCCTTTGCCTGGCTGAGTGCCCTTGGCACAGGGCACGTTTGCCTGTGCCAGTGTGGCAGAGCCAGTAAAGAGGGCGTGGGAGGACAGTGGGGTCAGACCTTGATGGCAAAGTGCCGGTCAGCACAGCGATTAGCGAGCTCCTTCCCTCTTCCTTTCACTGTCACACAGTGGAAAACTCTGTCTCCATCAGGAAGAACTCATTACTGGCAAAACAGACGCTAATCAGACATTAGTTGTAACCATTAATGAAAAAGCTAATGAGGTGCTGAGATCCCCAGAGCTGACTAAAATGAGTTAATCACATCTCACTGCTCAAAGGCCCATTAATCTGTGTGCATGCTGATGTTTCCCATTCCTTTGCTTATTATAGGAAATAAAAAACACTGTTCTGGCTTCATTTGTGTGCATCTGCTGGATTTCTCTGCTAAGCTGTAAAGCCATCTTGCAAAACCTGCAACTGGAGACAAGCAGTGACATTCCCTTGGCCACAGGAAGCCACCACAGAGAGGTGGAATGGCACCCACCTTCAAGGAAGGAAGCAGCACCGTGCCCACAGCCATATAACAGTGATTTCTCACTGTCCCTGGCTTTTGGTCTAAAATGTTTTTCCAGCCCTTAGAAGTAACAAGAAGTAAAGAGCTACCAATGCCCCTGGTGGCATTCCTACTAAAGCAGCTTGTAGTTTTTTTCAGCTAGTTTCCTGTCTTTACGGCTAGTGGTGAGTATTAATCTCACCTGATTCCAGTGGGATATCTCTGGGATGGATGGGTAATGAGAACCATCCAGCAATTGAGGTAATTAGGTGTAAATTTGACCCAGACTTATTTCAGATGTTGGCAATACATATTCACAGACTTCCAGAGATCCCCTGGAATTCACGGGATTCCTTCAGTATCTAGTTTATTTTAATCTGCCTGGAATGGAGTTAGTTTTATTCCTAGCACCCATTCAGTGCTGTGCTTTGGATTGATGGCTGTGGGAAGTGAGTGAGTGGCTGTGTGGGTGCTTAACTACTGGCCAGGGTCAAATCACATGTGCACCCAAAGCATCACCAACCTAATTCACTCTGGGCCCACCTACTTAGATGAACCAAACAAATGGGTAAAACTCTATTTTTCTTCAAAATGTTCTCCAAAAGATCAATTTGCTTTATTTTTATGTACTCTGTCTTCACCTTTGAATCTGTTTATTTCTGTTTCCTTACTTACCTATTCAAATCAAACCCTCAGATGACAGAGCCTGTCAGCTTGCAGAATTTCTCCCTGCAGTCAACTCTTTGGTGTCCCCAGTGAAGAAAGATCAGTCATCAGTTTCTCCCACGCCTCTTTCCTGTGACTCTACCTCTGCAGGCAGGAGCTCGGTGCCTCTTCAGCATCTTGGGGAAACTGCTCACACTTACCCACCCTCTGATACCTGAATCCTTCAACATTTAAAGGAGGAAGAGGAGTTGAAATAGTGGTGGGACATGGGGGAACAGTTTTAAATTAACAGACCAGAGATTCAGATTAGATGTTATTAAGAAATTATTTACAGTGAGGGTGGTGAGGCACTGGCACAGGCTGCCTAGAGAAGCTGTGGATGCCCCATCACTGGAAGCGTTCAAGGCCAGGTTGGATGGATCTCAGAACACCCTGGCCTGGGGAAGGTGTCCCTGCCCATGGCAGCAGGGTTGGAACTGGATGATCTTGAAGGTCCCTTCCAACCCAACCATTCTATTGAACCATCTCCACGTTTTTGAATACAGCAGCAAAAAAATTTCACCACTTTTCTTTATCCACCACTTCTCTCTTGGATCTAGTTTTAAAGGCACAAAACTTATTTCTGGGCTAACCAGATGAATGGGGATACAATTCAGCATCATAAAGCCCCCCTCCCAGGACACAATGATTCTGTGATTGGTTCTATGATTGATGCTATGAAATCACTCTGCTATTTTGTACCATATGAAACCCACTCTGGTCTTTGCCCAGGCTTAACAGGGGATGTGGCTACAAATCCAAAAAACCACTGGAAAAAACACTTCAAAGCACAGCTCAAGTATGGCCAGTCCATTCACACCCCCAGCCCCAGACTGTGGGTTTGGGGTGGGGCTGGGGGAGCAATGTGCAGCTGCCCTGGGTGGTGGCAACTCTTTGGGGCCAGCCACAGAGTAAAGCAAGGAGAGGAACACAAAAAGGCACTTGGGGAGAAATGGCCATAAGGGGCTCCTTGATGTGACACTTGATTTGGGGCATCCTTGGGGGAACCCATGGTGCTGCAGTGTTTGTGGCACAGGTTAGAGGCTTTCCTCACTGATCTGGTGTCTGGAGGGACAGGGAGGCCAGCTGATAGCTGCTGTGTAACTCTGGAGTCTCTGATTATGTGGAAACAGCAACAATTATGGAAAATGTCCTGTCTTAGTAGGAGTGTTAATGTCATGGGGACAGACAAACTCCCACAAGGATATATTTATAGTTTGCCAGCCAAAGGTTACCTTAGAAACTACAAACTAAGGAGTAGAGCAACATAGTAAATTTCCTACAGGAGAAAATTTAACTGAAAATACAGATTTACCTCTGCATACAAGTACCTGACCATGAGGAACTTTTCACTGTGCAAACCCTATTTTATTTCATATTGCCTGCAGACAATAAATGTAATGAGATCAACTCCCTCAAATTCTATAGAAAAGACAAGGGAAATCAGATTTTTAAGGGTGGCAAGGGACTCCTTTGCCTTTTCATTCATTGGGTTTAATTGCTATTCTGACTGTGAGCCATCAAAGGAACCCATGCCATGGACTGAAGCCATACAGCTCCCCTGTGGGTCCTTTTGTCCTTCATTTGATGGTACAAGCAAAGTCCTCTGTCCAAGTACTGTGGTTGGTCCATCTGTCTGCATGCTGCCACTGTTGTTGCTTCATGTCTTACTAGTCTCAAGTGGTTTCCAGATTGTAATTTTATGTAAATTACTTTCCTGACAAAATAATTTCAGACCTGGAAGCTGCATTGCATTGCACCTCTTGTGAGTGGACGTGAAGCAAAATACAAAATGAGTTCTAAGAAAGCTGTTCCTTGGTGTTATTTTGTTTTGCTGAGGATAACAGAGGAGCAAATGCTTTGCACCTCCTCTGCACCTGAAGTGACTGGAATAGCTCCTCAGGCCTGTGTGTCTCTACTCCCCACTTATTTTCCATAAGTGTGATTCTGGCTGGGCTGTATCCATTAATAGCTCACTGATGCAGCATGTCTAGAGCCTGGATTGCAAAGCAAAGTATCAAGCAGTTTCTGAGAACCTGATCCTCTGAAGGTCATCCTCAAAGGGCAGCTTGCATCACTGCCAGACCATCTGCCCTACTCAGTCCCTTAAACAATGAAAAGGAAAGGACAGATAAGGAAAGTGAGCAGTTGATGAGGTCCATGAGAAACAGCCAAGGTGGTGTTTCCACATGTAGAGCCATGGTCATGCAGAGGTGTGTGTGACCTGCTGAAGTGATACCTGACCATGGGATCCATCTCCTGGAGGGGTTCTTCTAATGGCCAGCTCAGCCAGCCATGACTGCAGCACCTGTGTGACCTCAGCAGGCCTGAAAACAGGGACCTGGTGTGGATCCTCCCATCTCAGCCAGGTCAGGCAAGTAGAATTTTTTCTCAAGTCACTGATTTCTGGGTCTGCATTATTTTCCCTTGTTTATCTCTTAAATAGAGCATAGATCCATCAGGAGACCACATGCATATTAAGTTCATTTTTTTTTTTCTCCAGAGAGGCCTAGAGCTGCCAAGTGAGCAGTGTGATGACCACAAGCAGCCTGAAACATACCCATGTCACCCAAGGGATGACAGAATTATAAAGGCTGGAAAAGACCTCTAAGATCATTGAGTATGACTAGATGGGTGTGAGGAAGTGGAATAAGCTTCATTACACTGTTATGTGACAGAGGAGGTCCTAGGAAGTAATGAAAATACTGTGGAAAAAGAAGGGTGCACAGAAACACTTTGATTTGATTATAATAAAAAATTTATTTTGATTCATATCATACTGAAAAATTAAATAAATAAAATGTCAACAAATGATTGTGTGAGACTCCCACCATTAGAGAAGAAAAATCATAATTGATCGTGTAGTCAGAGAAAAGTACAAAGAAAACCTGGACATGGGAGGAAAAAAGTGCTCAAGAGATTTGGCTTTGGTAAAAAACATAACACACACTCAAGGAGTGCTTCAGAGATTTTGCAGTGGTGGCACATACAGTCCAAGAGTTTGAAGCCTAGACATGTTGTTAAATGTTTTCCTTGGTTCTTTTAAACTAAATAAACCCAAAAAGTTTCTAACAGGAAAATAGTCTTCAACAATGCCAGTGGGAATTAATTCTTCCCTCAGCATCATCTGTTGGTATCTCCTGATTCTGAAGGCAATTGAAAGAGCAGCAAAATTGTGGAGAAACTGAGACAAGAATCTAACATAACAGTCAGCTGCCTAAACGACTCTAGAAAAAGTTCCCCTGGAATAGAAACGTGATGGCACAGACTATTCCTCACCCTACACCTGGACAGATCCACTCTCTGCTCTCCTTACACTCTGAAAAGTGGACATCAGTGGTACACAGTTGCTGCTTGCTGTTGGCAACAAAATTAAATGGGAATTGCAGCTTGTTCCATGATGAAGACACTAAATCTGTCTGCATGTATGAGCCATGAGTTTTATATGTGCTGTCAGAGGCAGAATGTTCACGGGAAAATTGAAATTTTATTAGAATAGCAAAAGGAAACTTTCAGAGCAACACAGGCTAGAATATAGCTGGCTTCTTTTTCCACTGTTTTTTATTCCAAATTGACCCCTGTGATAAAAAAAAACCAAACAAAACAAAACATCAAGGGGATTTAACCACCATGAGTTTTCTTCCAAGTTTTTCTAAAAATGACTGAAAGAGCAGTCAATGTTTCTGAATTACTAATATTTGTCCATGATGGAAAAAAGAAAAGTACTTGAAGCTCCAAAATCCAGCCACACTGTGAAGCTATGACTGGTGTCTTACACTTAGTCTTTTACCTCTTAAACTTGCTTTGTAGTTCTGCAGCATCTCACAAGAGCCGTATTGATTAACAGCAATTTAAACAAGCTGGAATCCTTAAAGCCAACAAACACGGTTCAGGCAGTAATGCTTCATTCTTTCACAAAGGACTTGTAGAAGACAGTGAGCCCATCAAATCTGCTGTGCCTGTGACATGCAGGTCAGCTCTTGCTGGGAAATGGCTTCTTGACATGAGGATTGTGAACAGGTCTCATCATGAGGATTTAAGGATTTGAAAATCCTGCCCTTTCCATATTGCTGAAGGGTCACACAGCTGAGGAGCTTGATTCCCACACAGATATTTGGCATTCTTGGCTCTTTATGAGCCATGAGTCCAGTAATACTCACGTGGGTAAAGCAATTCTTGTTGGTGAGCGGTGCTGTGGCCCAAAATTCCAGCTGCCCATGACACTGTGCCATGTGTTGCTGCCTTGGAGGGCACCTCACTGGTACCAACTGGTGCAAAAAGACAAGGGGATATATCTTGGATGAAGCACATCACTATTGAAGGGCTTTCACTGGCTCAGATACTCATCTGCTTGGACATTCTGCCACAACTGGTGCATAGAAGACAGGACATTTAGATTATGATTTCTTTTGTCATAAACTCCAACCAATGTGATGCATTAAAAATTAAATATGCCATTTTTTCCCAAGCCTGATCAAAAGTCCCTTGAAGTCTGTGGCAAGAATTCCTCTGGTTTCACCAAGGCTGAAAGTGGATCCATAATCCACAAGTCCTGTTTTCATCATATTGAGAAGAAAAGACCACGTTTTCTATTCTTCACTGACTGAACTTGGATTTACACTTTATCTGTCCTTGAAGCTTTAATGCATTGATTCCAGCAAAAATCTGTGAGTATAAAACCTCCACTGTAACTTCCCTCCTCTCCTGCCTGGAGGTACTGACATCAATATACTCATTTCTCCGGAGATGTACATGATTTTGAAGTCTGTTTCATACTCTAAGATCAGCTGGTACAGATTGTGTCTTTGTAGTGCTGCTACAGAGCAGAAGATTCTTAGTGTATAACTAGTTAATATCCCAAACCATGATTTTTTTTTCCATTTTGGATAAAGACCTTGTAAAGAGATGCCACATTTTTAAACTTGTAAAAAAATTAAGAAGAAATTTTTTTCTTGGGACTTTTGAATATTTTCCCATAAAAAAAAGGTAAAAGCTACCTTCAAAAATTGTCTTCTTTGTGTTTGTTCAAATACAATATAGGAGTTGTTATTATTGGTTTTGACTACAAAAGCATATCAGACAGAAGCTAAACTTTGGTTAATTTTCCCCCCTTTTATAAAAATGTTTAATTTAGGGTTTGTCGTCTTAAAAAAAAATCACATTTGTTGCACAAGTATAAAAGGCACATATAAATGACTTGAAGAAAGTCCACTTTCCAATTTTAAACTGATTAAATAAAAAACCCCCAAACATTCCAAAGTATTTTCCACCAAAACACCTCAAAAAACCCCAAAAATTACATATGACCAAGTGAGACAAACAAGTGGCTAAAAAGGCCATTTTTTTCTCTGGAGTTTTCAGTATTATTTTCTCCATCATTATGGCTGTGTAGGAAGCAATATTAAATAATATATGAGATGATTTGATTCATATTTTCTAGACACTATCAATGCAAAATGAGGCAATGGTTGAAATATTTCCTCCTCCAGGCAACTTCATCATGTTTTTCCTTAATACAGCGTGAAAACAGAAGTAATAAGAGAACAAAGAAGAGGTGGTTCAAAAACAAGATCAACAGCAGAAGTGAATTCATTTCTTTGAGGTAATCCTTACTATGATGCTCACAGCTGCCTTAGTGGATCCCAAGTCCCAGAAATCATTTTCACTGTTCTTCAAGGATCTGCTGCCTTGCTCGAGGAGAGAACAGACACACAGACACTGTTCCTGTGCCCAGGCTTCCTCTAATTGCAACAGGCAGATCTTTCATCAGTAATTCAAGAATTGAGCCATAGAGCCTAAGCAGAGATTAATTTATTCCAGCTGATTGGCAGCTCCCAGCTATCCCAAGAAGGGAAATCATGTGCAGCTTGGAAGCCTCGGCCTCATCCCTGCGGTGTGAGATGCTCCAAACCCACCGCAGATCCACGCATTCAAACCTGGCTGGTGCCCAGATCATCTTCACTGAGCTTTGTTCTGCTGCATGCTGGAAATTGCAGCCCCCACTTGTCCCCGTGGCCAGGGTCATCTGCCCTTGAAAAATTTTATTTTTTCAATGGAGGCAAGAGTCAAAGTTATATTGAACTCAAAATCCCCGTCATGGACGCCGGTCTTCCGGAAAGCCCCACCTGAAGTGTTGTTTTCCCAGTAATGATGCCAGTGTCCTTTGCTGTCTGCTCCAAAGCCGTACACATTCACCTAGGAGGGAAGGGAGAACTAGTGTTATGGACTGGAAAGCAATTGCTCTTCATCTGAAGTGCTGAAGAAACTCTTTCTTCCCAGTGTATTTACAGGCAGCAGCACCTGAGGTGATCAGTGTCATCCCAAGCCCTTCTGCTGCATGGCATGAGCACAGAGAAACAGCCCAAGGCCTACCCAAGGTGACATCCTAAGCTATGCTGAGACACCCCAGACCTGAACTCAGAGGAAAAAGGATATTTCTATCCATTAATTCTTGTTCAGCAACACAAAAATGCATTCCTATCCCTTAAGCATGATTGACCTCAGGAGATCCGTGGCTTGGGATGGGAATGCCTCTTCCACAGAAAGTGGAAAAAAATTTGGTTTGGTCCTGATCTTCCAAATAATGACCCATGGTGACCACACTTATATGCTTATTGTATGATATTTGCAGCTACTTCAGAGAAAGATGGATTTTATGTTCTTTGCATGTGTACACAGCTACAGCCTCTCCCCTCCCAAAGGCTCGTTTGCTGATGGCTATGCCTGTCTCCTCTGATGGTAACAGTTCAAACATCACCACTGATTTATTTAAACTGAGAGTGGTGATATGTCTGGCTGGATTAAAATGGGTCATAGCCCCAAAGCAGCTCCCAAAACCAACCACACTCAGGTCCATTCAAATATGAGCTATTTTTAAGTTAATTTTGGTAACGTCAGAGCCCTGTTATTGCCTGCTTACCAGGAAACAGGCTCCAGCCAATCTGCTCTGACTATGATAGAGTTTCTTCCAGTATCTTTAGGAGTATTTCCATCACCTCTCCAAGCAAAACAGGCCTGGGGGACCAAAACTCACCAGCAGATGTGTGTCCAGGACAGGGGTTTTGCCAGCAAAATGATTTTGATGCGCTATGCTGACAAGCCCATACTTGCAGGATTTTGTAGAGCTGACCTGGCCTTACCCTAAATAGCTGAGTCTCCAGTCACTTTGGAGCACCTCACATCACTCAAACCAGGGAATTTCCCCAAGTGACTGCTGGAGCAAAGGCACTTGCTATAACCTACAGCATAAATCCACAAGCCTGAGTTTGAAAATAGGAGACAAAACATAATTCAAACTTTCACTAGCAAGATGAGCACAGATACCATTCGTGTTTAGATGCCTCTTGATACCAGCTGGAATCTCTGTGTATGTTTAATTATATTCTCATGGAGTGCATCATAAACCCTGCAACTTGCTGACATTAAAAAAATCCATCATTGGCACTTGAGCATGAGTCTGCATGCTTCTGAGGAGTCTGCACATGTCTGAAGAGGTAAATAACAGAGAAGGTGCAGAGGGGGAAACAAAGGCTGAGTGAGTGGCCAAGGGCTGTTCCTGGCTCTTCAGAGTGAAATGTCCTGATTTTTATCCGTACATCCACACACAGACAGACTTTACCTCATCGCATACGTGGAGAGCAAACATCAAAGACAGAAGGCCTGTGGAGGGGTATCTCCCATGATGCTCCAGCCAGTTTTCATAGATGTATTTCATAAAAGCTGGATTATAAACCAGGATCTAGGCAAAATTTGAGACAAAGACTCATTAGTAAAACACCCTGGAGAAAAAAACAATGGTAGCACATAATTCCTAAAGGACACCAGGGTAGGGGACCAGGTAAGAAAAGAAAAGTAGTAATTCCTTAAAGGCAAATGAAAGGCAAGAATAAGTCCCATATTAAGTACAAACAGAAATATTTCCCATGTGCAATTACATATCAAAAGCCCTTCCTTGGTCTTGATATCCCTCCTGCTTACAGTAATGTAAATCCTGGAGATTCCTACTGAAACCAATAGGTATGAAACAGCACAAGTGAGATGAAAATTAGGCATTAGCCATTCAACTCTCCCTGCAGCACCCTGCAGGTGAGCTCTGGGGAGCTAGAGTCCTGAACAAGGCAAACATGAGATGCCATGACACGTTTCACAGAACCATAGATGAATTTAGGTTGGAAAAGACCCCTAAGATCATCAGTTCATAAGAGCTACTGACATAGATGAATTTAGGTTGCAAAAGACCCCTAAGATCATCAGTTCATAAGAGCTACTGCCTCTTCTGCACCATGTGCCAGCCATGTCTTGGTATCTCTACAGGTGCAGATCTAAGGAAACCAAGGATCAAATGCAAACTATCAGGAAGCCTATCAGGTCGTGTGTGATTCTTTTATCCTGTTTTTCAAATGTGCCATTTTTCTATGTTGCATGGTTTTTTCTTACAAGACATAAAATGCATTTGTTTATCTCACAAAGGTCATCTCCCAGAGACAGAGCACTTAAGAAAAGACCTGAGAGTACAGTAAATCCAAGGACTGGTAGGAGCCCTTGGTATAGAACCCCCTCCCCTGTGTGAGGCAAACAGAGCCTTTTCCCTCCACACTGCATTTGTCATTAGAGTGACAGCATTTCAGTGGTATCTGGTTAGCTGCAAGGTTTTTCCTTTCACAAAGTCAGAGGTTAATTGCTGATATTGCATCTGTGTGTAATCTCTTCTCACAGGGTGTTTTGCATTGCACAGTGTGGGAAGAAACACACGGTTCTCTTCTCATGCTCAGGAAGCTGCTGCATCTCGCCGTACCCTGGGCTGCTGCCACTCAGCTGTGATGTGAGTTTAACAACCTGCCCTGCTGCTTCTCACAGGGGTTTTGCAGAGGTTATCATGCACCTCACAACAGGTAAGGATGAGCTAAGGGATTATTTATTGCACCCTAGAGGTCCATGGCTTGAAGCAAAGGAAAAGAAACTGATACTAGCTCTCACCTGAAGGCTTTGGCAAAACCTGGCCTCTGGAATGAAAGGTGTGTGCTTTAATTTGTAATTTTAATGTTCTGGAACTAATGTCATACTTTAACAGGCCTTGATAGACTAGACACTTGTACTTCTTTGGAAAAACAGTGTCTCCAAAGGCTGAGAGAAAGAGACCTTTGTTTTTCTGGAAGCTAGAGGTTCTTCCTGGTTATAGGAAGAGCCTGCCTCGTTATAGCCTCAAACCATGCAGCTACAACAACAGAAGTCTTTGCACAGTGGCTAAAGTTCCTCCATGGGAATTAACATCCTGCCCCATGGCAAATCCTGCCTCCAGCCTGTCTCTGTCTGTGCTCTCATGCTTGAACATTGTGCTTAAACTGTGCTTGAACACTGCCTGTGAGACCTGTAATACACCTGGAGCAAAACCTTCCTGGACTTGGCCTGAGCTCAGCCTCCCAGCTCGTTTAATTGGGTACAGGTAATTACTGCAGCTGTGGGCTAAGAGCCTACCACCAGGAATTCTCCACTGACTTGGAAACACACAGCTTTATTTGTTCAGAATTCACTTAGCTCCTTATTACAAGGAACTGACCTGGGAGTCAGAATCATCCTTGGTGTTCAAATATTACAATTATTTCAGAAAACCTCCGAGGTCTCTCCTTAGTATCATTACATACAAATGGCTGCAATGGGTAGGAACAGAGCAGTTACTCTGGAGGACAATGCTGCACTTTTAATGTTCCTGAGCAGCACTAGAGGAAGTGATGCAACCTTCAGAACAGAGCTCGTGCAATGGCATAGCCACAAAAGCAATTTCTTTCCAACCACAGTTATTTAGTGGTTGATCTATGGCCTAAATGGCACACAGGAGCCAAATCTTTAGCTTAGCTGGGCCTTTTAAAGTGTCTCTATTTTGGCTGTAACTTTCTATGAATGTCAAGGGCTTGCTTGGATTCTTGCAGTTTCCCAAACAGGCAAAAGACATACAAATAAATTAGCAGAACAAATACACAAATCAACACTGCTCACCTTTTCTTTTTTGACTTTGATTTTCCTTGGAACTGGAACATATGTGCTGTTAAAGAAAAAAAGAAAGCACCATGATAAATAAAAGCCCAACTTATTAGTATTTTCATATAATTCCAAAGAAAGAATATTCTTCACATACAGTGATAAATTCAAATTATTCTAAAGTAATAATATCAAGAAGTTGTTGTAAAATGAGGCTGCAATTAAGTAACACAGCTGGAAAAAACCTGAGCTGTCACTGAAGCAATTTCATAGGAAACTATTACATTCTTAAATATTTAAGTTAATTATTGACAGTAGGACACCGAAGATTTAGTTGACAATAGGATCAATAGTCAATACCATGTGGAGCTTGAGACTTCTAATTCTTGAATCATTATTGTTGCAGTCTTTGCTCTGTGATGATGGGAAAGGCTTTCCATCTAATTCATGGCAGAAAAACCTTCTCCCAGCAGGGGGAGACTTTTCCTCTCCTAATACTCGGAGCTGCCACATGATTTTCAGAGTCGGTGGCAGCAGAGCTCACCAGCTCTGTGGTTATATGGAACTCGGGCATTCCCAGTACACAGCCCCTCTCAGAGAGCTATTCCTCTCCTCCCCAGAGTAATGATGCTGAAGGCTTCCTGCAGTTTCCAGCATAAAACTTCCAAGTTACACCTTATGACTGTGTTGAAATCATGAGTCATGAAAATGAAAAAATGAAAATAAAAAAAACTTTTATTCCCCATATCTCATGCACTGTGTGTGTGCCAGCATTGCACAGCTCATCATGAGTGCTGTAAGAAAAAAATTATCCTGAGTTTGTTTCAAGTGAAAAAATTCGGGTAAACTGGCCTTTTTATTGGAGTATATCCCAAAATATATCCTGCACACTTTTTAGACGGGTTGTGGTAAATCACCAAAGCCTTCCATTAGTTCAGTCTAAATGTTTTCTTTCACTTGGGTTTTGGTGACAAGGTTCCTGTCATTAAGGTTTTATTTTCTTTGAACCACAGAACGTCATCACTTTTAAAACTTAGTCTAAATCTTCCCAAACCAGTGGTGACCTGGCAATGTTCTCCTGACCTGCCATCCGTGCTCTGGGCTGGAGGCAGTGACAGAGGTGATGCGTGGTTCCAGTGCTCCTAGGAGGTGATGCTGCTGGGGAAAGGGACACTCATGCAGACTTCTCATTCTGCTCTCAGCAAATATGCCCTTGCAGCTGCAGCCCATGCCTGACCTTGATCAGCAAATCAAATAAACATAGGCTTGGTGATCCCATGCCCTTTTTGTGCTAATGCAGAGAAATTCTTTTCTGACAGCATCTCCTTAATATCATATAAATAAACAGTTAATCTTTTCTAAAAAGGTGATGTGGAAGAAACAAGAGGGCTGAGTTTCATGGATAGATACAGTAGAAGACCAGAGACGAGTATGAAGTGTCATGACAGTACTTGTGGACATCCCTGATCCAACCAGGAGACTGCTGGAGCTCTTGCCAGGTGACATATTAGTCATTTTAACCGAGATCTACTTCATTGTTTCAGAATGCCCAAGTCCTGCTGTCACGTGGCTGCAGAGTTTCATAAAATGAAACAGAAAATATTGGCACACTGATTAAGACCTCTGCTCTTATGCTCATGTAAAACCTGGGCTGCAGGGCAGCCAGGGAATGAGGGACCCAGGAGGAACCAACAGGGGTGGGACAGTGACACCTGTGATGAAGGTGGCAGTGCAACATCACCTGGGAAGCATCTTCCATGAACCACTTTGCAGGGCTCCAGTGGAATCTGTCATTGTCCCTGTACAAAACATTCATTTCATTGTACAAAACATTTACTGAGCCCTTGGCCCAAGATGTGTAACATTTTAAGGAATACAGTAACCGTCTTTGCCAAACAAAGTGCAGTTTTTTCACCATACAGATTCCTAAAAGATTTGCAAGTGAAGGCAACCAGGGTAAATATATGGCTCCTGAGGGCCTGAAAGTTTCCTATCCCAAAAAAGGCATTTCTTAGTCTCTTCTGGAACAATGCTTAGTCTTAGAGAGACGATTTTAGATGGAAATACATCAGTCAAATGGGACTGAGAATGTCTGAGAGAATCACTCAGCTGTCAATTGAAGCTAATATTAAGGCAATCTGAAGTTCGGCTTTTGTTTTGAATCATAAAAAAAATGGCAAGAATTATGATAATACTAAGAGAAGAATATGTTTAACTCACAGGTTTTGAGTTTTAGGAAGTTATTTCATTTGGCTGAAATGCAGAAAATTAAACACTGTGTAAAAGTCTAACCAATACAGGATGCTTATCTTTTTTAGCTATGAGTACACTTGGGTTCCTGTTAGCCTAAACTCAGCTGACACTGTGCAGGCTGTGCATGTGGAACAATGCCCAAGCAGACTAGGGTAAGGAGATAAGTACCTTTTCCTTTCTAAAATACTGACTTTCAAATGTGTTTTATTTTTATTTCATGCTTTCTCCCCTTTAAAAATGTGCACTCAACAGTTTCTTTATACCATTATCTGACACTGGGTTTTTAATGCATGCTCGTAGGTTAATTCTACAAGGGAAAAATTATGCTATGTACATTGCTATGATTTGTATGCTTATTATTTTCTTCTTTTATTATTCCAGCTTATTAATTATGCAATTTCCCTGTTTTGAGTACGGCAAATGTCTTAAAATAGTATTTCTTTCATGTGGTTAAATACTCACACAGTAATTCATACCAGATGCTTACCAAGCCCATGTATATAATCTAATTATAAATATATAATATAGCCTGCAATTTATTAAGCAAAGGTGTTTTCCCTTTCATATGCTGTGACTGCATTGTGGTCAGCTATATCTTCCTAATAGGCTAAGGGCTCACTTGAAACCAGTGCAGGGCTCAGAGTTCAAGAAGCACCAAGAGATTTCTCCTGGGCAGGGACAGGCAGTGGGCCTGCCTGAAAAACATGTGTCCATGTAAATTACAGAACAATAGCACCATTTAGGGTGGAAAGACCTCTAAGAGCATTGAGTCCAACGGTTAATTCACCACTGCCAAGTCATCACTAAACCATGTCCCTAAGTGCCACACCTGTATGTTTTTTAATTCTTTCAGGGATGGTGACACTACCACTCCCATGGGCAGTCTGTTCCAGTGCTGGATAACTCTTCTGGTGAAGAAATTGTTTCTGATATTCAGTTTAAACCTCCCCTGGTGAAACTTGAGGCATTTCCTCTTTTCCTGTCTCTTGCTACTTGAGAGAAGAGACCAAGCCCCACCTGGCTACAGCCTCCTGTCAGGCACTTGGAGAGACTGTAAGGACCCCTGAGCCTCCTTTTGCCCAAGCTGGGCACCTCCAGCTCCCTCAGCTGCTCCTCATCAGACTTGTGCTGCAGACCCTTCCCCACTTCCAAGACCCTTTTCTGGACAGGCTTCAGCACCTCAATGCCTTGTTGTGAGTGGTACACTTTTCTAATGTACTGGTTTTTCCAAGATATGAGTGTGTCTTGAAGGTGGATTTTTTCAAGCCAGTTTATGACTGTATGTATTAAATGCTGGTGATAAAAAGGGTAACACAGATTTTTTATAAGTTAAGGGAATCTTAATAAGAAATGAAAAGAATCTAAAATGTATCTACAAAGAGAGAAAAGGAAATTTAGAGAAGAAATAAACTTCATTTGCTTTTTCATCAAAGAGTCATAAAATTGCAAAGTGGGTCTTATACCCAGTCAGCATGCCCAAGACACACTTTTCCAAGTTTAAATCTCCTGAGACATTGAAATTGGGAAAAAAGTTTAAGTGTCTTGACATACTTCTCTCTGGAGTAAAGCAATTTGATCAGCTCTTGCTGTCTGTGTGTAGCAGAGTGTCATCAAGCAACCCCACAGGGCTGTGGTTTCACATCCAGCACATAATCTCACACACAGTACAAATGTCACGTATTTCATTCTCTGGATTAGGAAAAGTCAGCTTAGAGGAAGGAAAAGAATCTGCTAGCAGGCTTCCAGAAGAAACATGCACTTTGATCACATTTCTAATTCTGGTGCTGCCATAAATCTAGCAGGAGACAACCTTTACTTCTGACAGCACTCAAAAAAGAGCTGGAGAATAAATTCCAGTGTGCCACATTATTGCCAAGTAGAACTCTTGAATTTAAGGCTAAGACATGCAGGTGATACATAAAACATTGTTTCCTCTGCACAGTTCTCAGTCACATTCCACCAGGAAAGACGGACCAAATTCCTGACCAGCCTGTCCAGGGGAGCTCATCCTCTGGATGAGGCACTAAGTGCTGTGGACTGCATCTGCTCTCCCTGCCTCAGGTGAGCAGCCTGCACAGCCCTCTCTGCCCCTTGACCTCTTCTGCAAGTGTACTCACTCCTAAGGAGCCAGAGAGGAGGAAAGATGAGCAGAAAAGCCCAGCATGAGGCACTGAACCTCAAAGTTCACAAGCCTTCTCACCAAAGTGGTCACCTCCACCAGCAAAAACTCCCCTTTTCATTTCTCTGAGACCACTGGGGATGTAAGGGACTGGATCTCCATCTCTGCCTCAACAGCTGCACCATAACATTAAGCTTTTCCTAGAAATCAAGTGTTTAGGGCTGAACTCTGAATTGAGAAGTCTGTAAAGCACCCCTAGGCCTTACCAGAAGCAGGGATTTGCCCCCCAGAGGCTACCATCTCTACAGCAACATCAAGTATGGAGCTCCCACCCCTAGTGCCTGCCCTTACTCACAAGTTGATGGTGCCTGTGGTGAGAGCGGTGACGACCCAGCGCAGATCCAGGGTTTTGAAGGGGATCAGGATCATGCTCACATTTGCTGCCAGTTCTCTGTAGCTCTCAGGATAAACAAAGTGGTGAGTGGTCTTGCTCCCAACATCTGATTCATAGCCAGCAGTGGGGGCACGGTTCATTCTGCAGCCCAAAAATAAGAATTGAGACAGAAGAGGAATTATGTAAGTACAAGTACATGTGATTTTTCACCAAGTCATTTGCTTGAGGTGCAGGAATATGCTCTCATGACTAAGAGGAGTGCTATATGCAGGGTCTTCAGACAGCTCTGAGAGGTGTAGGGGTCCTCAGGCAAGCTGGAATGATCATAATCCATGTGACTGAACAGTAAATGAAAGCTCAGCTTTAATGTGGAATTCCTTGGACTGAACAGGAGTATACGAAGCAGGTGTATCTCTGAGCACATCCCTGTGTTCACTTCACAGTCATCAAAAGAGTGGTGAGTCCATGAGAACACATCTCACTTCATCCTAAAGCTGCATCCTCCAGCTGGTGAGAAAAACATTGCCCTGAAATACATCAGCTTGACTTCTTGCAGATCCACTTCCCCCTTATCCATACAGGTGTTTTTCTATGTGTAGGGTCAAGGCAATAAACTATGCTATGTGTGGCAAGAAGCAGCAAATATTCCTTACGGTTCTCCCACAAAAAGGCACAGAAGTCAGTGCCAAATAGACACAAAGACAGTGACAAGTACAGGACCTGCAGCTGACCCTTCATTTACTCAAACCTTACTTTTACTTTGCAGTATGTACTCCAAATCCAACAGGTACTCAAGGTCACTCTGCACACACATGGGATGCTTTAGGTAACCCTGGAGTCAGTGCAGTGAGATCTGCCCAGGGCCTCCAGGGCTCAGTTAAGATATGTTGGCCAAGCAGAGCTACCCTACTTTATGTTGGATGTATTACAGATTCACAGAATCAGAGGACATTCGAGTTGGAAGGGATCCACAAGGATCATTGAGTCCAACCCTTAAATGAGTGGCCCATACAGGAGCAGAGAGGGAACTTCTGAACTCAGGACTGCAGAAATGCCTCTATGCCTGTGTTCACTTCTGAAAGCCAATCTGGGAACACATCAGCAATTCTCTCCCTGATGCTTCAGCTCCTCAGTGGTGGAGATTTGCATATTTCTGTGGTGCAGCACAGTGCACATTAGAGAACCCTGAAGCAACTTGTATGAATCCATGGTGCTGTGCAAAACCATGGAGAAACCCCTCAGTTGCCTCTGAGCAAAATGTTTTTTTTTCCTGCAATAACATTATCTCAGCTCCTGGCAGAAGCACAGGGAGGACAAGGAAGGATGTAGCTGACAAGGTAATGAGGAGCATCATACATTGCCAGACAACATGCTGCCCTGGTTAATGATAACAGGAGAGGCAAAATCTGTTTATCAAGTCTATGCCAGGCTGTGTTATTGCAGTTCTCCCCCAGGTGAATTACTTAAGTTTCTTCTAACTCCCTTCAAGGGAGTTATTAGTGTAGTTAGAATATCCTGCCAGCTTGTGGATTTGTTACTGAGTTCCCTGTTATTGCCTTCCCTGCCAGAGACCCACACCATACTGTGTAGAAACACTGGAAAAGCACAGGACTTTCTGTGTTTTGCCTTGAGATTAGTCAGTCAAAGGTATAAAATATGGGTCTTTCTTTCCATCGAGACAAAACCAAGGGTGACATGTTGGTCATCTTACAGTCTGCCCTTGGCTTCTTGTTCCTTTCCTACCACCCATGGTGGGGCTGTTGGTGCCATACAGCAGAAGGCAGCGCTCACACCCAGTCTCAGCAGGAAGGGCCAAGCAGGAACTTCCTTCTGCAGGAAAGTAGATAGCTATACAAATAAAAGTGGGCTGTTTGGAAGGAAAGGAGCCTCCTCAGACTCCTTGGCTCTCCCCTGCATTTGGCTGTATTACCAGAGCATGTGGAAGTGAATTTCAGGTCACCAGAGATTTTGTGTTTGACGCATAGAGGGGTTGCCTTCTCTGCACAAATTCCCATGGTGAGTCCTAAAACCTTGTGCAATCCTTTCAGATCTGGTTCAAGATTGTTGAAATATAAATCTGAGACTGAAAGAGTCATTAAGTCACCCAGAGTTTTGCCCTTACCAGGGAGGGCTGGCTATGGGATGGGCAAGGCCTTGGAGCAGAAACATGCACCTGGGTGTGTTACTCTTTAGTTATTACTACCAGCTTTTGAGTCCGGCAAGCTCTTTTCTGCAGGAGACTGGAAATGTAAGACAGGCAATACAAGAAAGTCCACACAGAACAGGGCTGTCTCCATATGAAAGGACACAGAATTAAGCACCATAGCTTCCCACATTTGCAGCTGTCCCACATTTACAACCTGTAGGAATAATTGAGGGTTCTCCCTTTCCCTTCATGGATCTGAAAGCCAGGTTGGTGCCTGTGCCTTTGGGGAAGCACTGTTGGCAGAAGCAGCTCCTGAAATGTTTTGTGAAGATGTGTCACCTGAAGACTCTATGCCATGCTCAAGCCACATCAGAAGCCAAGGTGGCTTAACAGTTCAAACAGTGTTGATCTTTTGTTGATTTGTTCTTGACTTCAGCGCACAACTTTCTAAGTCTTTTGTTTCTTTTGAGAGAATAATCCCACATGTGGCATTTCAAGAGCAATCCCTCCCTTCCTGACCTTTACTGCTCTCCAAATTGTACTGTGCTGGCAGCTGTGGTGTGAAAGGCAGATGAACTTAGTCCAGATATTTTGGCTGCCTTCTGGGTGATAAACTGTGCTTACCTAGCTCCTGTTTGCCTTTCAGTGGAACAAAGAAGCCAATTTTGCTGCCTCAAAAGGGAGAAACAATGTCATCCTTTACAAATTACCCACAGCCAAACAGGTGACACCTGCCCACTGAAAAGCATCTTTGGCTTCCCCACCCTACCACTGCTTAAGAATGAACAAGTGCAAGAAAGTCAAATCTAATACAGTCAGCTAAATGTCTAAAGATCACTCATGAGCACTGGCTGCAGAAATAACTTTTACTCATAAGTGCAAATCTTTTTTCTCCTGTATTTTTTAACATGGACAATTACAGATTGTGCAGAACAAGTTCCAGCATCAATACCTATTCATGTTTTTTCACCCCAGCTAAAACATGAGCTCATATCTCCAACACACATAGTTTATACCCCTGAAACTCAGACTTAAGTACCAGGTTTCACTAGACAGACCCTGAAACCTTGTTTACTCACTTGTCCCCCCCAAACACCAGTGAATTTTAGACAGCAAAGGCAGCTGTAGCTGGGTGCTTTCCACCCACCTGAGCACGAAGTCGTGGGAGTCGATGTCCTGGCCGTACTGGGACTGCCGCAGGTTGCCCGAGTTGCCCACAACGGCGCAGCGCCGGCAGGAGGAGGAGCCGCGCTCCTGCAGAGGATCCCCGTCCCCAGGGATGACCCCAAACAGCTCTGCCAGAGTGGCATTCAAACTCTTGGGAGCTTTCTCTCCTTGCAGCTTCTGTTAGGGAGAAAAAAGCATTCCAGGTTACCAACACAGGCAGCTTTTCTGTGAGCTAGAGATGGCTTGAAATGTCTCCTCAAAGAACATCTACCCACAGACACTGCCTTCTGCAGTACAAGGCTTCATGTTGGGAGCCGAAGTGTGAAAAAAATCAAGTGGAAAACTCCTTAACTTTTTAAACTTGGCTTCCCTTTTCTCCTTCTCCTCCTCCTCATCAGATTCCCACACTTCCTCTATCTAGCCATGGTAGAACAGATGAAGTATTTTCCCCGAGGCTGGCCTGAGCAGAATAAACGTTCCTCTGGTGTTCTATAAGCCTAAACCCACTCTGGGTCAGGTATTTTCTGTTAGGTTATGTGTAAGATTTCTTTTATTTATTTACGTGTAAGATTTCTTTTAACTCTCCTATAAACGATGGAAAAGTCTCAGGGGAGCTTATGGAAGACAGAAGTGGCTGATATTCCTGCCACAAATTTTGCATATGCCAGGAGTGGGAGAGGGAAATGGGAAGTGAACTGTAGAGGAACCAGCTGCTCACGCAATAAGAAACTACTAGAGCTAGCCCTGAGGGCTGGAGATGTATAATCATCTAAAAAAACCCTCCAGGATGAAGAAAACCACCCGGACCTTGGTCATTGTGCCTGTTGCCATGGAGGGGAACTGTTCTGTAGCAGCTCTGTGGTGCATGGTGGAAACAATGGCTGGATGGGAAGGTGCAGGGCAGGTGATGGTCAGACACTCCCCTTCTGGAGCTCAGCTCTCTGAGATTTACTGAAGAGGCTGGCAGTGCTGGCATGCTCATAAACACCATTGCTCACCCTCGTGGTGCCACTTGCTTCCAAGCTCACAAAAGGAGAACGGCTCCAGCACAAGGCTAAAAAGGCTCTGTCTTGCTCTGCCAGCCCAGGGCATGGAAAGACAGGGAGGGAGAGAAGAGAAACACCTTTTCCCACGACTCCCAGGAATGACTTGGACTAATTTGGCTTTAGTTTCCAGTGTGTTTCCCTTGACTGCACCAGGACTGCACTGTTAATTTGTCCTGCTATCTCCCTCTCTCACACAAACACCAACAGGTGCAGCGCTGTAATTTTTGTTTAAATTCTGTGCTTTTTGCAGGACCTTATTTGCACTGAAACAAACAACAGGTCTCTGGAGCTCAGAGCTAGAAGATGACATTGAGAACTTGGAACAAAGAAGACAAAGAAATGCATACACAGACTTAATCTTCCCACTAATCCTTCCTAATCTATACACTTGTATATGGACTGCACAAGGTGATTAGGATGCAAAGTAATTAGGATGACCAGACAAGCACTGTAATTATAACTATGTATGTCACTATTCAGTGCAAGGCTCAATTATATAAATAAAAAAGGTCATCTTCTAAATTTGTGTGTGATCCAACAAACACAGGGCCACATACCTAAACTCTTGTGTGTTCTTTATTAACAGAATCTAACCATGTCTTACTCTGAATATGAGAAAAACAATGTTAGAAAACCTGCAGCTTTCAAAATAATTTGAGACTTCATAGATGTCACGGAGTCTAGTACAGGTGTATAATGTAGTAAAATACAATATTTTTTGAAAAAGGAACTTATTTTGAGTAATTTGAACATACATTTGCATATTCCATATATACTCTCTTCCTCTGTAAAGATGAGCTGACTCTTAAGTGTCTCTAAGAAATTAAAAGGAAACCCCACCAAAATCTTATTCTTGAACTGATTTTCCCTGAGAAAATTCAAGAACAGGAATGCAATTTTCAGAAAATTCCAAGTACCTGAGTGGCCTTTTTAAGTTACATTTTCTTTTTGTCCAGATTGACAGCATCAGAAAAGGGAAAGGCCTGGAGTAGTGATGCATTTTTGCTGCATTAAGATAGTAAGAAACATCCTGGATAGGCACCTTCATTTACAGAGCTCAGACATCTACCATTCTTTAATGCTTCTGTCTAGAGTAACTCTACTGCAACCAAGCTGAAACATGGGAACCAACACCAACCTGAAAGCAGGACACCATTGTCCTACAATCCCTCTGTGGTACACAACTTCCATGGGAAAGACCATTACTAGTGCCAGAAATTCCCTCAGTGACCTCAAATACGGCGATGACCTTACTGCACTGTGTGCTGAAAATCCATACAATGAGACATCTGTCCTTAACTCATTTTAAGTGCTCTGTTTTGATTTCCCAATGATTATCTGATTGAAATATACGTTTCAGGCCTAATCTTCTATCAACACTGGTTACTCTTTGACGTCTCAGCAAAACAGAGAAGAGGAAGCAACAAAGCTGATTAACTCCAAGGCATATTCAGCTTAGAAATGTTCAAACTTAACATGCAGCCAGTTCCTTATTGCACAATGTTTGCTTGGCTTATTGAAAAAAGACTATTTTAATAGCATTACAATTACAAGCCGATTATAGTTCACTTTCCCACACCAAATTTTTGTCCTTTTTTTTTTTTGAGTATTGTTGTCTTTTCTTTTTTTTTTTTTTTCTTTTCTCCTCTTCATCAAGCTCCCACCAGTCTGGCCTTTCCCAGAAGGAAATCAATGAAAGCACAGAGTGAAAGTCTGCCATGCTGTGCAAGGCAGAGCCACAGCAGTGCCACGTGGCTCTGCTAGGACAGCATCCTCCCTCCAGGTGCTGTAGATGTGTGATAGGGTCATGTGTATGGATACAGCTGCTACAAGTGGCCTTAACTACACTGAAATACTTGACCCCTGTTGTCGGGGTTCGCTGTTATTTGTCTCTGCCCCGACACGGGAAAAGTGGTTCTGGGTGGCCGCGATTTCGAAGGACGAGTCTGGACTCTCAGGTTTTCGGTCTTCAATCTTGTTTCTTGATTCTTATCTACAATATTTTCTCTCTGCCCAGCCGAGGTCTGTTCAGCAGGACAGTCAAGTGCCCTCTCTCCCGCCCACATCCCACGTGACGGTTTTGTCTTTTATACTGAAAATTACGTATATCATATTTACCTTTAATTCCCAATACTTTTTACCCTTATAGACAAGTGTACCTTCACCATGAACCAATCCAAATGTGCCAACATCATCACACAAAATGGAAGACATGAAGAAGGAAGAAGAACCCAGGACTACGTCCTGAATCCTCCATCTTGTCTTCATGACCCACCCTGTACCTAATTTTCTAAAATCTACACTTCATCCTGTAAATACACTATTCACACCCTAGAACTTCTCATTTCCTCATACACAGATATTTTATCTCTAGATGGATCAAAGTCAAGCCACCAGACACTTTTGGTAACATTCCAAGGTCTCCGAGCTCCCCAAGGGTTCTCTCAGTGACTCTGGACATTCAGAGTGATGTGTTGAGTTCCCACACCCTGTGTCCTGAGTGAAGTGGCTGCTTTCCTCAGAAGTCTGTGCAAGTAATATGTGTGTCTAAAGAAGCAGTTCAACTTTTTGCCCAAGATCATAAAGCATCTTAACTCGTGACCACATATAAAATATTACTCAACAGACCAGCTTCCCTCCATAAAATCTGTGTGTCACTTGAAAGTCAACTCTCACCGTAGGTTGTTAAAAACTTTATTTGGGAGTTCAGATTGAGAAGTTTCCTAAATCATTTCCCAGCCTTAGAAACTCCCCATTTCACATACAGAAGTGAACTAGCTGGTTTTGCATCTTCTTATTTTAAAAAAGCAAGCAAGGAAAAAAAAAGGCAAGAAAAAAAGAACCCTAAAAGTTCATGCACTCCCTTTCTTCGCCCAGGAATAGCTCTCCATGAAGAGCCTGTTGTTCCCTCCTCATCACTGTGCATGCTCCCACTAATGTTGACAAAGGATTTGCTGCTTTTTTAAACTTCTCAGAAGGCTTCACTGGGCTCTCCAATGCCAGCACACTGACAGCACTGCCAAGCAGCAATACCCAAAACCTGGCTAAGGGGTTGCAAAGGGAGAGTGTGAATATAGCCAAGGCTGCTCAGAGCTAATGGCTTGGAGTGGTGAGGACACAGCTACAGTCACGGAATCACAGAATGGTTTGGATGGAAGAGGTCTTAAAGATCAACTCATTCTGATACCCATACCATGGGCAGGGAGAGGTCCCACTAGACCAGCTTGCTCCGAGCCCCATCCAACCTGGCCTTGAAAACTACCAAGGATGGGGCATCCACTTCTTTGGGCAACCATCCTCAAAGGAAATAATTTCTTCCTAATAACTAATCTTAAACCTGTCCTCTTCCAGGTTAAAGCCTTTCCCCCCTGTCCTATCAGTACATGCCCTTGTGAAAAGTCCCTGTCCAGCTCTCTTGGAGCTGTATCTAAAGAGATATTGAAAGCTGGCAACAAAGTCTCCCCAGAGCCTTCTCTTCTTCAGGTTCAACAATCCAAATTCTCTCAGTCTGTCTTTACAAGAAAGGTGTTCCAGCTATCTTCCTGACCTCCTCTGCACTTGCTCCATCCATGTCCTTCTTATCATGGGGCCTCAAAGCAGTCGGAGAACCTCAAAGGAAAGCTCTCCTGGTGTGCATCCAAGTTTGGCAGCGTATTAAGCACAGCTTCAAAACCCCAAATTATTAGCAGGTAGAAGAGATGAGCCTGCAGCCATGGGTGTGATGTAGATGCAGACAGAACACGGACCAAGGCAGAACCTTGTGGTGGACAGATAGGTACAACTGTGGGTGTGACAGCAGCTGGCACTGGTGAGGCAGCCCTGACAAAACCCAGCCAGGCAGCCTGGGGCAAGCTGGGGTAGCAATACTGGGGTTTGTGGCTTTTCTAGTTTCTTTAAACTGTTTTTCAGAGATAAAGAGCAAATAAAGCCCCATGAGAAACTCTTTTGCCCAGCTACTAATTGCCTCACTGCTGCAGTTTGGCGGCATTAACACTCATGCAACACTTTCCAGCTACAACATTAATCCTAGCAAGAGTCTGGTGTGGTAAATCCAGGTAATCTCTGTTCTACAGACTCAAGGAGAGCCTAAAAGGAAATCATCAATTTTAAAAATGCCTCTTTGGTCTAGAA